CTCATTGAATTCTCTGCAGAAACTGTCACGTGCAGTTATTGGATGAAGGATGATTGTTTCGTATTTTCTGATGTTTATTTTTCATCCTTGGATATAAATATTCAGTGCTGTGCCAATCAAACCTGTCCTACTGCAGTGAAAGCCATTTTCCTGCAACATTAAGCCAGAAGGGGAAGCACATAGAAACAGCTACTGTGATGCAGTAAAGCATGATGGCAGCTGGTTTTCATTTTGTTTTGTGTATGTATTTGGGAAATTTAATGTGTTCAACTAGGTCATTTTCCTTGCTTCTACATCTTCCTTCATTCCCTGCTTGGTTATGCTGTGGAATATAATGTATGGGTTACACAGGGATATGATTGTAATTCATATTTTTGTGGCTGGAGTGTTTGCTAATACTAGTGATGGTAACAGCAAGTCTTGTTGATAGATCATAAAAATTGAACGTCAGTGAGCAATTGCATGGTCATTCCTGGCCAAGCAGCAAAGGATCCTACAGCTGCTACCTCTGGGCACTGCTTTCCCAGGTGGCAGATGGAACTAGGCCTACAAAAACCTTCTTATACAGGGTAATATAAGCAGGAATACCTCATTACCAGCTGATTTATCTGTTTGAGGGAATTTCTGTTTTGATTAGTGGAAGCTTTCTGATTTAAAGGAAAAAAATAACATAAAAAGGAATATTTTATCTGGAGTTATTTCAGTGCAATTGGCCATCAGGGAATAATTTGCCGGAGTCAAATCTTGTATGGCACCGGAGGCATCCCAGACTGTGGTCTGTAAAAAGCATGGCATTCCTGCTAGAAGAAGATGTCATTCCATATTTTGTATGTTCTTTTTCCTGAGAAATCTCAGCCTAAGCAAATGGAAGCCTGCAGGCATTCAAATCTCAGTAGAGGGACCTGTTTACTAATGATCCTTTTTCTTCCCTCACATATATAAATCTAGTGAGGAGGAATACTGCAGTGCTACATAAAAAATTGATAGAAATCAAGCCACTCAAATACTGCTTCAAACCACACATCAGACAGGACCTGCAAAGAAAGAAAGTTGATATGATGTTATAACCAGAGGACAAAGTCACATGTGTGCAGCATATTTGTGCTATGGTAAGCCTTGGTGTTAGTTTCAGTTCCACACACATTCTCCTCAATTTTGCTATCTATTAATAAATTTTCCCGGCTGACAGTTATGCCTTTAAAAAGCTGCTGTCCCATTAATACATGTATTACAAGCTCTCAAACAAGTCTGACATATGGGTAAGAAGAAGGAAGAGGATTTACATCATCTGTTTAAAAGTTTTTCAGGTAATTTTCAGTATGCCTCAATTGGTGCTCTTTGAAAGTGACAGAAAAGTGTTTGGAAGAGAGATCTGTGGACAGTGTTTGGAAGAGACTGACTGGCTGCACTGAGCAGCTGCTCTGCAATCATCTCCAGCACACAGGTGAGTAAGTTTACACATTTAGAGAATCCAAATTCAGCAGTGCAGTTTCCAAGATTAAATATGATTGAGTTGCAGAAAGCTCCCATTAGTATTTCTTTCTTTGTAGATGCTTTCCTGACCCAAATAGTTATTTTGTGTGCTACACTTCTCCTGGCAGCAAAGGTCACTTAAGAAATTTTTACACCATATTTTTCCACCCACTCAGTAGTGCTGTGATGAGAATTTATGGGGTTGTATTGTAAAATGATACAGAGAAGTTACTGGGCTAAAAATAAATCTTTCATCCAGCCCCTTTTTTGTGTGCTAGTTCATTTCATCTCTGATAGTAGATGCTTTGGACTAGAACCAAAGTATTTCTTAAGTAAATACAAGCTGCTATCAGCATTATGGAAAAAGCTTCACCTAGTTTCTAGACAAATTATTCTGCATGTTGGAGCTGCCAGCTGCACAACTCAACACTAAAATCACAAATGCAGTTATTGAAATGCAAAATAAAATATTTTTTCCTTTGGATCTACACATGCATCTTTGTGTATGTAAAGTTTTAATGCAATCTACATCTTTTATCAGTATTACTGAAGCATTAGTGTGAGCAGAATTATTACATAATGAAATAATATCCTTAAATATTAATTATTTGCTTTAATAGATCCTTTTATTCATTTGAATGTAAAGGTATTTGTTATGTCCTCAGTAGTTCTAAAAGGTGATAAACAAGTCAGCTGGATACCATCAGAAATGGGGCTAGCCTGCAGAACTTTGTGACATTTATCTTTGGTATCTTCTTCTTTTTAATTTTACATGCAATCTAAATAACACTGAAACTGATACAGAGAAGTAGATGAACTGGTGCACTGTGCTTTTGTTGCTGATAACTGGAAAGGAACAATGCCTTAGGTTCTAAATGTTACTGTGTCATCGTTACAAAATGTTGTTCAATTGTTTCTGGACACCTGCCCAGTGCTGCTAAAACCTGATGTTAGTGCTAGGAAATTAGTGGCTGACAGATTCTTGATCAAGTTCTTAATGCAACTGATTGATATTCTTAGCATGTTCTATTTGATTTCTTTTTCTATCTTTTTTTTTTTTTTTTTAATTCTGTCATTGCAATTTTGCTGTTAACCAACTGAACATGTTTGTGTGACAATTTTTCTGGCCTGGTAACTTTGCATTTGAAACATGGAATAAGATGGATAAGTTAAGAAATAAATACAATATTTTGTGTGGGGAATGTCTCTGGCCAGGCCATACAAGTGTTTCTGGGCTGGACCCAAAAATCAGTGCTGGAGAATATTATGCAGCATACAGTTACCTACATTTGCAGAAATATTTTTAATAATTGGTGGCAAATAAGTTTTACCTTTAACTCGATGAGGGAAGTGAAGATCATTTTCTTGTAACCCATGCTTATAATCTTCCTGAAATAAGCTTTAGTTAATGTACATGGCACTGGTATTGCATTGATGCAGCTGCACCCATAGAGGTGGTGATTGATGCATTGCATGCACAGCATAATGTCCCCACTGGTGTTGCAGGATGCTGGGGCCACTTTGAGTGTGATCATGGAGCTCAGCCTCCCTCTACTGCTCCTGCCAGTGGAGTTCTGCTGCTGTGAAGGCAAAATCACAGAAGCACTTCTCATAGGAGGGAAGAATTTAGGCAGCATTTCAGCAAGGAGGCAATGAAATGTATGATAAAGAAAGATTGGAGCAATACTTGACTTCAGTGTAACCATGTGCAATCATTGTCTCAGGCTTTGGATAAGATTAATCTGCTTGGCTGGAAGAGGCTGCTGACAAACACGTGCACAGCAGCTGAAGAAACCTCACCTTTATAAAAGTGCTTTTAAATGAAGAATTTTAGAAGGACAATGGCAAATGCTTCCACGAAACCACATAAGGAAAACCAGTTCTTTATGTCATACCAGACATAAACTAGGTTGAACAGCAACCAGTTACAAAACCGTTTAAATTTTAAAGAAGAAATTATTTCATTTCAAATAGGATGTTCTGAAACAGCAGTTTCAGAGAGTGTAGGGAAAAATTGGGTGGTGTTTACGTTGTATCATTGTCACCACATGAGGGAAGAGGAAGTTAAGCTGCGAATTTGACATCCTTTCATTTGATGTTTTGCTGATATTCAACCAAGGCAGCCTGATACAAACACTAATAATTCTGCATGATGATCATAATTTCAATGAAACTTCTTTTAACAGTGTGTTTTGGCAGCGTAGGTAAGTGTTGCTCTTTTTTTGGTTTTGTTTTGGTTTGTTTTTTGGTTTTAGTTAGTTGCCTGTAATTCTTGAGTTGGATTTTAAAAAAAACAAAACAACTTATGGTATATCCACCTCAAATACTCATGTGAGAAAAGGAGAATATTAACTATTTTTTCATAATGCTTGAAATCAAGATTAAAAAGCATGAGAAATCCAAAAGCATTTTCACAAAGAAATTGTTGCAGGCAAAGTGTAGAGGAACAAATTGAATGCTTCAACACCCAAAAGGATGTTAGGTTAATCTATGCACCACTTTTTTAGGACTTCTGACTTGAATATTTATTATGACAAATATTGAATGTAGAATTTTAAAATGTTAAGGAGGATTTATTCTAGGTCACATAGGTACTGAAATACAAAGCAGATAAGGATTCATGATTCTTTTTCAATACAAATTGCAGTGGATAATGCTGAAGGCATTCCACGTGAGTTAAAAAATCAGCAAAAGGATTTTTTTAGTGCTACTTTTCAGAAAAACAGTAAAGTCACAAGATGGAAATGTAGCGCAGTCAACAGCACAACTGTGTTTTAAACAAAAAATCAAATTAACAGAAAAACTGAAATTAGTAATTAATTCTTTAACTTGAGCAGCTTCTAGGCTGTCATTTACACACTACATCAATTATTTCCTTTATTTTTTCTGCTGCTTATATTACCCCTATACTGTCCATATTATTCTCTACAAGGTTTTAAGTGTTGCCTTGTAAAGATGGCGGTACTTGACTCTTTTACATATGATAAATGTGTGGCTTTTTCTATGGACAAAATAGAAAAATTTATTTGCATATTTTTCATAAAACTGATCAGATGCCATTTTAGGGTGAGATATGAAAAAAATTGCCTAATTAGTTATGTCTTGCTGTGAAATGTGCCTGAGTGATAAATAGGATAAAATTTAGAAGAAAATCATGTAGTTTACTTCTCTTATTAGTTCTTCACTTTAACGCTATAAATGATAGAAAAAAAGGAAATTATAATTCTTCATACAGCCTATGAAACTGTCTCAACAGTCATGGGAATATATTTTATAGGATTAGAACTTTCGTAATGAGCATCAATGTCATTAGAATGTAAAAAGAGTTATCTGATCCCACACAGTTGTTTTACTTTAGAAGAAAATATTTTGTACATATATTGCACAACGTCTCATGTATCACTCACTTTGCTTGCTGACAGTGAGAGAAAAACGTATTGAAAGCAGGAAGAAGAAGTTTGATTTCTTCTGATACTGTCCAAATCAGCCTTTTCTTAAAAGCCAGACAAGAGACCCAATGAGAGAGCATGGGTCTGTGTGGCTTCTCTTATTAAATGAAGGAGGTGAATTTGATGTTATAAACTACTTGGCAGCAAGTACTTGATGGAAGAAGTTGAAACTGAATGAAAAAGCCCATCTCTAAAATGCTGAGCACTTGTCATTCATTAGAAGTAGTGCTGGACAAGAACTACATGGGGATAAAAATTGCAGTGTCTTTTATCTTTAACCTTGATGAGTTTTTCACTGTTGACTAATGAATCATTCTGAATTACTCCTTTTGATCATTCTTTATCTGACAGAGAATGTTTAATAAGCTTCAATCTCTTTTTATAAAGCTTTTTCTTGAAAATAAAAATCAGCAAGTATGCAGAAAATCTTAATTTATTGTACCCAAACAATGATGGAGGACTTAAACACATCAGATTAGAAGTTTACTTTAACCAGAAAAGGATTGCCATTATTCAAGGGAGAAGTGAGTAATAAACTTAAAAATTAATGTCATAATGATTTCACAGCATTAATTGTTATTTTAAATGTTTATTTTAGTATTTAAACACTTCTTTAATGTTTAAATTAACTTTTTAAAATGCAGCTTTAATGACATATCTTTGTTTCTTTACCTTTTATGTCTATGTGTATTTCTCCATTAACTACAGGTTCCAGTAATTCAAGAGTCATCCAAACACCAACAAATATAAATCTATCTGTTGGAGACTACACTGAAATCACCTGCATTTGGGAAAAAGCTATTGAGAGGTATAGAGCAAGCTGGTATTTTGTTAGTAAAGAGAACATCACTAAAAATATATCATCACAACTTTTCTATTCGGCCAACACCACCCATGAAAACAAGGATGTGCTAGTCATCAAATCTGCCAGTCTAAACGACACTGGATTTTACTACTGTGAGATAATTATCGAAATACCTGTCCTTAAGAAACTACTTGGAAATGGGACAACAGTGATTGTTGAAGAGAAAGGTAGGCTGGCAAGAACATGTGTGTGCCATTTCCCTCACCATCATAAAGATTATTGAGTTTGAAGTCAGTTATGCATTTCCTGCTTCTCTCACCTTCCTCTCTCAACACTTTGGATCTCTGGATGAAAGAGACAAACACAAAGGGGGCCTGAACACCTTTAATGACAATTAGCCTAAACTCTCCTCCTTAATATCTCCTATGTAGTGTTTGTTTTCCTCCACAAGGATTTGTTAATAGGAATTATTACCTAAGGTTTACAAAAATGCTGTGCATGAGCTGTGTGTTTCACACGAGACCCAACCACAGCTCCCCCTCACAGGAGCACAGATGTGAGAACTGAGTAAATCTGCTGTGTGGTTACAGGGGGCTGCAGTGACCACATGGTTACTCTGCTCAGTAATCTGTAAACTTTACTAACCATTTCATTATTTTATTACAAGTTCTTAATAAAAAGTGAGAAATAAATCAATACGAATGATAGAGCAGTAGGGGCCTTTATGGATTTGTGTCTATAAAATTGTTTTATATTGTGCTGACCTTGCACCTGATTCATTCTTGAAATAATTTTTAATATTACTTGCCTTTTTCCTTTCCTGTGATGTTGTTATTTCATTTTATCTTTAACCAGTATATCACTTCATTTTCTATATGCAATTGCAGCAGCTCACCCACTGGAAAGGAGATATTTGGAAGCATGGGGCGTCCTTCTTTTTTTAGTGGCAGCAGGAAGCTTGTATCTTTGCTACAAAAAGAAACAGCTCTCCACCCTATCTGGTGAGTTACAGTATTTCCATTAGCACATAGAAGTTACATGTTTGGTTTGAGATGGCTGGAGAGGGGCATTTAAGAGGGACTTCAGTGTGTAACTTTGCTCGCCTGGTCCTGGTTGGCTGGGGCGTCCGGAGCTGACAGGAGGGATCAGAGGCACAGTTCAGGTGAGTGTTCTTGCAGCCACTTGCTTTCATTATTTATCTTTTAAGGAGAGTCATCGCATAAACTGAAGATCTTGACCTGGCCAAAAGGCATTCAAGAATATCAGTTCTGATAATTTCTTGCTGATTTCTGACTAAAAAAGTGAGGAGCTAGAACTTAGCTCTGCATTGCAGTCTCTTACTCCTGGTAGAGACAACTAGAAGTGAGATCTGAAAGACTCAACCTTGAACACATAGTTCTGTTTTTTTCAAGCTGTCGTTTCTTTTCAAGTAATTATTAATTTGGGTTGGTAAGGAGTTTTGGAGGGCAGTTTTGTTTGTTCATTTGGTTTTTTTGTTGTTGGGTTTGGGTGTTTTTTCAAAATCTAGAACTTTAAAGGTGGAAGGAGTCATAGGAAAATAATAGTGAATGACAAGGGTGCAAGACAAATATAAATGTAGGGCAGCTGTGGGCAGAGGGCTCAGATCAGTGAGATTATTTAAGGCAGCCTCTTCAGTAATTGTTTGGGTTGTTTTCAGCTTATTTCATTTGCAGCCTGAATACCACTTTAGTGTCTGTCATCAAACGAGTTGTACAAGAGCTCTGCACTCTTAATTTCAATACTTATTGAGCTCTGGTAGAGTACAGGTGTGACTCTGGAAATGGACAGTAAGCAAGCACTGACTGGAACTTGGGTTTTGCTAAGGTGCTGCACAGCTTCCTGTGCTGACAGGACAGCATGAGCAGGAGCAGATGCTCGAGATGGAAGAGCTTCACGGGAGAAACGAATCCACCAGGGAAGCAGCTGAGGAAAACTCAACATGTAATTCTGTAGAATGGGTAAGAGATTTATAAAACGACTCTTGCTATGAGAGGATTTTGAAAGTGGACTGAACAGAAAGCACACAACAACCTGTTCTGTTCCTAGAACAGCATCTTCCTAGACATGGAAAAGATTTATAGCAAAAAAAAACCCACTCAGAAGTACGAGGGATATTTATGTAGCAGCAAAGCATTGAAATCTGTTGTTATATTTAATAACACTCTAAAATTGTCTGGAGAAGAGGGCCGCAAAAAGCAGAGAATATCAATATCGAGACTGAGTGAAAGAAAGAAGCATAGGAGATATAAAAAATGACAGTTAAGTCCCTTTATGTGTAATTGTGTACCAAGCTCAAGGGGCTTGGATCAGCTTCAGCTCATAGAGCCATGAGAGCAGGCAACAATTGCTGAGAGCAAGTAGCAGACTTCCAGCAAGCTCCTTTTTCCGCACAATTATTCATCTTTTAATTACATTAAAACATAAAGTATGCAAGGGCAAGAAGGCCAAATTTAACCCATAAATAGGCAGGAAACAGCACAGTTTCCATTGCAGTCAGCTGGACAGGCTTGGGCAAGTCACACAGAAGTGATAGAAAATTCTCAAGCCTGTGGCCACAACTGCAGTTACTGAGTTTACAGATTCTCAGGTTCTCCTGTAAGAGAACCTGGCTGCAGCCTTGATTTGGTCACATTGGTGCTGTGATCATGGTGAGAAGAAAATATCAGTATACGTGTAGTAGAGCAGTAATATCTACCTTTGATTGAGTCATTGCTCTAAGAAAAAGAAAATACCTGGGAAAATTCATTCCCTGTAAGCAGATTGGCACTGAAGCTATGAGACTTGCTTTTACTGGTGATATCACAGTAGACAATTATAATACAAGGCATAATATGGTCTGGTTATAGTAATAAAATATTCTAATTACTAGCTATGAAGGGATTACTCTTCTTCTTGTTAATATTTAATGAAGATGTAGGAAAACGAGATTGAGAATGAGAAAACAAGCATCCTAGGGGGTGCTGAGTGAAAAGTTCATTAGTAGCCAGCTACTGCACAGGATTTGCGTGGACTAAAACTACTTCAGAGGATGTGCAAATGCAATTATAATCTTTTGCAGCTGCTTTGTAATTTAGTAGCTACCAGCCACAGTTACGTGTCATGACATAGGTTCAGTATTTTCCCTCATGTAACAGACCTTTATGCTATTTTAGTAAAAGCAGAAAGAGTGATTTCATAGTGGCATTTTTTTAAATGTTCAAGCATAATAGGATGTTATAAATCATTCAAGAGATCCAGTAGGTTAGTAAAGCCAGTACATACAATGTGTATGGACACCACATTTCAAACAAATTAAGCTAGTAGTGATGAGCAAATATTACGGTGTCTCTGGAATTGCACTTACTGACTTTCAAATATACTGCAGGTATAATCATCTTAATTTAAAGTTGATTCTGGTTGTGAAAAATCTCTACTTACTTGGGAAAAACTAGCCTCACACTGTTTTTTAATATAACTTACATTTTTCTTTTTAAATTTGGAAATTTGGTGAATATTTTGGGTAGGTTTAGGCATCATTTCTAGAACAGTGAACATGAAGGTTCTATCTGCCTCTGCAAGGCTATTTACAGTCTCATGCTTTTTTTTGCAATCCTTGGTGTTGAAAAAGCAATCCTGTAACACAGGAATTTAATCAAGCCATGGGTTTTGTTTTCACCTGTATTATATGTCTCAACAATACTGAGCAATTAGGTCAGGGAACAACACATAGCTGCAAGTACCCAAGGTAACTTAACCTGGGAGTGAACATCCTCGTGGCAAAGCTGGCTCCTGGAGCTGTGCTTTTAGGATGTAGCACTTGTCTCTGTCTCTGGAGAATCATCCCATGTTTCCTCAGCTGAGATGCTCAGGGAGTCTTTCCCAGACAGTTCTGCCAGCTGCAAGGGAATTTGGCCTTTGAGGGAATTCCCAGGGCAGTTAATGATTTTTCCATCAAGTTCTGCAGGTTCCAGCCAAAATCTAAGCACTTGTAGCATTAATACAAACTTCCAGCTCATAGTAGCATGATTAATTCTCACTCTTGATTGTGGGGTTCTGGTTGTTCAAAAAGCACAGAATTGTGATCCAGATTAATTGGCTATCCCTGCCATGCCTCCTGCTTGACATTAGTCTGGCAGGTACCTCTCTGTGCTGACCATGGCTCATCAGAACACAGACAGCAAACCCCCCATAGCAGAGTGTGAAGATGAAAAGCTACTTCTTCATGACTTCCACCCATTTATTCATTTATGCCATCTCAGCTTGAGAATTTGATTTCATATGTCTGTGGGAACATTTCTTTATTATGAGATCTTTAATTCTCATGTTTTGCTAATGGACTTACCTATGTATGTTTAGGAATTGGATGACTTTTGCACTGCCCAGAAGAGTATCTGAATACCACAGCAGAGTGCTAGTTTAGTGCATCAAAGAGCATTCATCCAGAGGGAAGTGTATGATGAGGTTTTTTGGAAATATCAGAGTTAAAAGATTAACAGAATTAAAAGGGGATAAAAATGTTTTCCATTTCAGATTTAATAGAATCTGATCTACACTGAAATTTGACATTTTCAGTATTCTAAAAAAATATTTTATGCCTGCTGCCTAATTAACTAATAGAATTTAATCTGAACATAGGAAGGCTTTGCCTTTCAACATTAGTATGGAGACATCCTTTTCCTCTATAATTGTGACTTCATGGCCTGTGTTTCTTTGTGTTTCCTGGGGCTGTGCTGTGTCATAGGTAAAAGTTCATTTTACATCTACTTTATGGGTAAAAGTCTTGACTGGCATTTTCTTTGCTTTTTAAGGCTGTGTCTACGCTTTATGAATCACCTGAAATTTTTTGCAATGAATCAAGAGGAAAAGATGACAAATCCACTGCGACTATTGTATCCAATGGAGCAGATGAGCAAATTCCACAAACTAGGGCAGCTGAAAAGTCTAGAATGAGACAAGAATCTGTCATCTACTCTTACATTCAGAACTAAACAAAATATGGCTAAATAACTGTGAAACTGAAAAATATGATAATTTGCTGCTGCAAGATGGATTACGTGTTTCCTGTCAAAAGCTTGTCAGTGGGAAAATATACAAGAAAAACAGTTAATTCTAAGCAGTTTTTGAATGTTTTGTCACTAACAAAACATTCTAAGGAGTCTCTGAATTTGGAGGATAATATCATTTAGAGGACTGTCTTCAGCTCTTCCTCTGGTATCCAGAAGCACTGTGTTATCATGCTTTGAAAAATACTTCTGGACTGAAGAACATTCTCCAACAAGAGCGTTTCTTCAGGAAGCCCATGTATGAATAGGAGACGGTAGAGGAAAAAATGCGTGGAGTCTGAGCTCTGAAACTGTCATCAGTGCTGACCACATTATAGAGAGTGATACGCCAGAAAGGATTATACTCCTGTGGAAGGGGGCTGTTAGTGTTAATTCATTCACAGATCAGGAAAAGTCTTCCAGAGAAAGAAGCCTCCCACGCACAATGAAATACTAGGTTTAAATGAAGATATATATCTATATAGTGAGAGAGAGAGAGAGAGAGAGAGAGAGAGAATATATAATTATTGTCTAACTGGTTGAGGAGGGCTGCTTGGAGGAAACAGGGGTGGCAATACTTGTTCCACTTTTGCCAGCCTTAAAACTTTTCAAAAGATCACCAAAGAAAACCAAAGTTGAAAAAATTAAGGAGAACCCGGCTTCCAAGGTCAGAACACAGATGAAAAGTTTTGACAGCAAAGCTAACTAATGGCAGTTGTGCAAGGGCTACTGAATGCTAAGAGTGGATGTCTGAAATGTGAATGTGTTTATGTACCAGGGTTATGTCATCTTCTGTTAATGTTTTTTTTCAAAGCTTACCTGCCATCAGTGCAGGTAGAAACAACTTCACTGCTCAAGATTTTTGTCCAGCTTGTATCTGGGCAGTGCAATAGACACAAACCAGCTTTCCCAGGGCCCTTAAAAACTGTGTAATCTAAATTGACTGACTTGCTACTAAATACTGTTAATTAAATCTTTGTGGCCACACAGCACAGCTCGTGGTGTGGCTCCGTCTATGCTGTTCTGACTGCAGTTCACAAAGCTACCTCTCAAATTTCTGTAACTCAGCTGTGTCTCACTCTGTGCTGTGGATCCTCTTTCCTGGGTTGTTCTGTAACCTGCCCTGAATTCCCTACTGCAATAAATATGCTGCTGTCTGAACTAGACTGTAGTCATTGCTCTGTGATTATGTCTTGTATGAGAGAAACTGTTATGTCTCATCATATTTATGTGTAAATTGAATAAAGCAAAATAATTTTTTTTCTACTTGAAGTTCAGGTATTTTAAATCCTGGTGGGCTTTTCCTGAAACGCACTATTACAAAACATTTCCTTTACTGCATGGTGAAACTCTGTCATGTTCTATATTCTTTTAAGGATTAGAGATGGGGCTGCTCTAGATTTCCCCAAGCCCTGTAACTTTGTTTGCTACACAAGAAAGTCATAATCTGTAAAATGGTGATCTTCAGCCCTAGTCCCTGTTCAAGGAAGCTCTCAGTTATGCGTCAGAGTTGTAAGTGGGTGCAGAAAAATTTTGGTCTTTCTATATATTGCTGCTTATTTCTCTGTTTAATCACAATGAGATGTACAGTGTTCAGGAAAATGTTAAAGAAAACCACAGCTTAATAATCTCCAAATCCTATTTTCATTACATTTTGATTTAATGTGGCTCCTATCAGCAAAGAATGCTGCCACATTAACAGCTGCTCACATTTTGTATGTTAACATGGTTATTTCCAACATCTGGCAGTAGAAGACTACTTCCAATTTATCATGACTATTTTTATCTGTGGCTGACAGTGGTGGCTGTGAGCCAGCAGAGTATTTTTAGACCTCTAGCTTTTGACACCTCTGCCTCAAATTTATTATCTTCTCTGCTTCTGTGCCACTTGGGAAGCAATAAATCCTTCTGTGTTTTAATTCTTCTTGGCTGTTTTGTTAGCTTTAAAACAAAAGAGCGCTCTGTAATTAACCTCAGGTCATGTTCTAGCATGCAATATGGTCTCAGTTTTAATTGTCTGTTTAACTGATGAGTATATAATGAAGATATCTGTCTAATAATAGAACTTGAAGAGAGTCCTGGGCCCTTGCTTTTAGCCATTTTATTGGTTATTCCCTTTTGAACAAGCTGCTGAAAAATGATGGTTTCACTCCGTTTAATTTGATGTCCGAAGTCCTGTGTTAAGCACAGGCTAAAACACGCGGATTTAGGAGCGAGTATGGCACAACTAATTCACAAGTCTGGCATGTGCTCTGTGCTTTTAATGCCCCACCAATGTACTTGGCTTAGTCATAGTCCTACAAATGAGGCTCCCTCTCTGTTTCTGTCACGCTCCTGACCCTGGTTTGAAGAGCTAGTACAGTCACCTTGAGCCTGAACTCTCTCCCCAGTCCATTGCAAAACCATGCAAGGATCTTATTTACTCTACCTGGCACTAAGGTAGCTATTCTTAGTGACTGAGTATGATCTGGTTTGACCTGAATATTTTCCTTCAAGCCCTGGACTGGGATTCTTTCCTCCCATAGTATCCATGGAAGAAGATTGTGGAGCAGGCATTCCCAGCCCCATTACACCAAGGACCCTCAGTGGCAGGCAGGATGATGAGGTGTCCCAATGAATGTATTTGCAGAACAGCCCTGTCTGTGGTTCTGTGACTGATGTTCTGTGCCTGATAATGGGGCTGTCAGAACAGCAACGATGTTGTGGATTAACCCTGTCTGGTAACTGAGCTCTGCACAGCCACCCACTCACTCCTGTCTCCCCTGGGAGGCTGCAATGAGGGCAGTTGTAAAGGGCTTTTTATTATCATTGTTTTTACTAAGTACTCTTCTGTCAATACTTTGTAAACAGGAAATTGCAAATACCACTGACAAACAAATATGCAGATGAAAAGAACGTGAAGCAATTTCTCTAACCAAAAGAAAGGTGATTGTGTCTCAATGTTTCTTGTTTTCTACATAATGTGAAATGCTGAGATGGGAGGAAGGATTTTTATCAACATTCAAATAAAATGGCTTTGGCTAAGTTGCTGTGATCTGGTGCTGCATGCTTGTGAATTTTTTTGGCTGAGATAATGTGACAAAAATTAGTTCCATGTCTTTTTTTCCAGAGCAGAGTCCGTTGGCAGGGCTTGGCAATATCTTGTAGAGCCAAGGCTGCCCTTCCTAACCTTGTTGCAGGAAGTATTCAACTCCACAGACGTGAAGAAGTATAAGAAGGGTAAGGCAGAGAGGCAACAAGTGCAGCATCTGTGTTAGGTATTATTAATGGACTTAAGACAGCCAGAGATCAGAGGTATAACTGAACTTAAGGACCTGTCACGTATATTTGCTCTGAAATGTTGTCTATTCTGTTATCTGCTGATGTCCTTGTCTTGTCCTAAACTTGAATGCCCAGCTCCACAAGCCAGGAGTGTTATATCTGTAAGTTGCCAGGCCTAACACAGTTGCAGTCCATGGTTAGGGCTTCTGATACTCCTGTGGAAATAGATCATGAAAGCAAGTAATAGGTGCTGCTCCCCCGTTAACCTTATAGCTTTTAATTCTGGAGAGAGGGGAAAAAAACATAAACCTCTCTAACAAAGTCAGCAGAAAATGGTCGGGTAGTAGGTTGGAAGACACTCCAAAAATACCTTTTTTTTTTTCTCAGATAGAAAAACTCTGCTTTTTCAGTTTAGCAGTGGTACAATATTAAAAATTGTCATTTCGAGTTTCTTTTAAAATTGAGACTAAACTTAATCTAATCTGCAGATCTAATCTCAGAAGGGCTGCTATCAAGCAAGAAAGGAAACGGAAAGAGTAGCTACGTTTAATTCAAACCGATTGTCTCTGGGTAGAAAAGTTTGCAACTGCTTTCTCACCCCACCTTCAGATATGCAGTGTGGTAACAGAGTTGTGTGAGTGGTGTCTGGGTGCTGAGCACAGGGACATCAGACAGGTACAACTTGTCCCCAAGACACCATAACCAATATCTTGGCACAGCAGTGGCTACCTTAGGTAAGACACATACCAGGTAGGACGTCTAGACAGGTATAAATACATTCAAAGGATAAATTTTGGCTAAAATAATGCAGCCCCTATATTTCTATTTGTGACCACATTTCTTCAACACAGTAAAGCATCCTCTCTTCTAGGTGAGACTATTCATGGTTGGATTCCCCCTCTTCAAAACAAAGGATTCTCCCACTTCTATGCAGATAAATTTTTTCCTATTTATGGAAAGCCTTCTCTTTTTCTGGGAAGTGAAATCTGAAGTTAAATGATCTGTTACAAAAGCAGGCTCTAGTTCCATTCCCCCCACTGCTTCTAGTATTTCTAAGCCCAGTGTTTCCTGCTCAGTTAGCAGTGCCAGAACAGCTGAAAAAGCCCCACTCCTTATCAGTTGCACTACACTCTGTGATTGTTTTCAGGAAACTGAAAGCAGCCAAGTCTGTAAAATGTGTGTGTGCCTGGGGAACTTCCACTCCATCAATTTGCCTTGTAAATCTTCCTGGTGGCATCTATGGATATCACCTCACTTTACACACAATTCTGGGATAGTAGGTCAGTCCTAGCCATATCCTCTGTGTGCACATAAATTAATATTTCAAAATGAAAAAAAAATGTTTTTTAAGAAGGGGAATGCACAGGCATTTCTTTGATGTATTTCCTGCCTGGACACTCAACATTAAACAACTTTCTCTTAGGGATTCCTTCCTCTCAGAATTTTTTTTTTGTACAATGAAGGAAAAACTGTATTGCTTAATTCCTTTTTCCTCTTTGTTTTTCTTTTCCTTTCTCTTTTCTTCTTTTTCTCCTATTTTTTCTGACCATGCCATAGGCCAGCAGATCAGGTTTGGCTGACAGTTGAGTGGGATTTTACGTAAGTGTTAAAGTAGAGAAAAAGACACTTGTGCTGCTGGTGTGAGACTGGCTGAGGAATTATGGCTTTAGAAACTACAGCACTTCTGTGGACACCGTTCAGGTACCTCAGGGTGTGACCTCTTTTTCTGTCATTACAACTAAAAATAAAAAGTATTCTTTGAGAACCTAATGTCAAGAACCTTAAAACTGAAGTATAAAAGAACCCTGCAAAGAATGGCATCCAGGAAATTATTCAAACGAGGAGTGAAAACTAGACAGAAGTATTTACCCTGCAAATACTAATTTATTGGCTGTAAATATATTCATTGATTTTACAGTCTAATGTGGCTATGTCTCATGCACTAATAAATGTGTTTGATTGGAGTCACCATGCAGTGCTGAAAGTGTGTTTGCTGTGGCACAGCTTTGCCAGATGACAG